AAAAAACGCAATCTGCTAATTTTTTTAACTCATTTTGCATAGCAAACTCTTCGCTGTCGCTGCAAAGCAACACAGAACCAGCCACCCGTGTACCAAATACAAATAAACATAGCGTTCAAGGCTCAAACCCGATATGGCTTAAAGGCTATGAAAACGAATGGTTCAGAAATGAGGAAAATTTAAGGTAATCTAAGGCATGCTTACATATGTATGTACATTAGACTGCATCACTCCCCATAAAAAAAAAAATCGGTACTGTTTTTTCCATTGGAATTATAAAATCTATTGTACTTTAAGACGCCCACCAAAATATTTCGGAAAAATATTAAGATTTAAGCGAGCTGGACCGATTTGAAAATACCTCCAAAAATGGAGTCTTTTATGGATAAAAATAGTTTCTTAAAGAAGTTTTTTGAAAAAATCCTCTCAAATGACAAAACAAAACAAATTTGCATAATAATATTTTATCGAAATATTTTGGTGAACGTCTTAAAATATAATAAATTTTGTAACCCCGGCGGAAAAACCGCAACTTTTTTTGGTGATGCAGTCTAATGTACATATTTTACATTCTCAAATCCATTATTTCTTTAATTTGTTTTGCAGTCAAGGCGGTCAGGATTCTTTGGATGAAAATTTTCTGGCGATTGGTACGCAGGATATACACGAAACGCTGAAGGGCACTGCAAAACTCTTCAACCACACCAATGACCTCAACCGACACTTTAATGTGTACAACCAAATTGACAAATTAACAAATAATGCTCAAATATTAGCGCGTAAATTAGAGACTACAGAATTATAGGAGCAAAAAAAGCCGTATATTTAAAGCCCAAGAATGTTATATCATATATCTAAGCGATTTTCTATAGCGATTTTGTATGAAATATGTATTTATGTATGAATTTACGTGAAGTGTCCGAAAATAGCCGTAATATTATATTAATTTTTTAAATAAAACAGATCGTATCATTTTATAGTCTTCCGAAATACAGGTCCGATCAAATTTGCTATGTATGTAGAGGTATCGGTTTTTCTTTTTTACCGACTTCAAAAAAGGATGAGGTTATCAATATCGTCGGAATATTTTTTTTATGTGTGTTACCGCATGGCTTTAGACTTTTATTAACTGATTTCTATCATTATTTTTTTTTTAAAGAAAGGTGGTACCTCAGAATCGGTCCCATGCTAATTTGGTTCACATCCGATTTTGTTTTTGCTTTAATGTTCAAAAGAAAACAAAGGGAAGATGAATTTATTTTTTTAACTAAGCCCGAAATGTCTCTAGCCTAATAACAGGCGATCCCACTTTAGAGGCTGAATTTTCTTTTGAAATTATGCAAGACTTGACGCACAGTGGGATTTGAATCAATTCTAGCGCGCCAAAGTCTGCTGAAAGTATACCCATCCAGTAGTACAACACTCGATGGATTTGCAAAAGTTAGCTCGTATTTTTATTTTATGGTATTTTATTTTATTGTTCGGATAATTTTACTAGGGGTCTTCTCAAGCAAAAACTTCATGCCACCAACGGAAGTCTCTATAAAATTAAAACAAAAAATCTATGCCAAGAAGAAATAACAGCCAAACTCAATTAAAAAAAAAAAAACAAGTTTTTTTGTTGATTTTTTATTTTAATTTTTTAGGGACTTTTACGTTGGTGGCATGAACTTTTCGCCTGGGAAGACCCCTAGTAAAAAAATAATTTTCTAGAATACATAAATCCTCTAACGAACCTCCAAAATCGCTTCTTGTGGGTGTCTTAAAGTAAGGAACAAAACGACCCTTTCAGGCGGGAGCTAATGGGTTAAAATGTTCTACCGGGCTGGTTTGAATTGTCATAAAATTGTCGCACAGTGTAATTAAGGGTCACTGAACACATTTTTG